CCATATAACGAATCATTAACCGGTACCATTGATTAAGAATATTAATAATTTTACAATATGACTGTTGTGCATTACCTTTGCACTATTTGTATTCCATGTCATAGTTCACAGCAAAATAATAATAATGGTTACTGTAATGGAAATATTCATGCAATTCTTTCCATCGTACAGCTAGCTGTTGAACTGTATCGATGTCATAAATCCCTTTCCATGCAACCCATTTTTGGAGTTAATCAAGAGCATTCCGGCCTCAAAATCGAACTTAGTACGAATCAAACAGCGAGTGTGAGCTCACACCGCCTTATTTAGGTTGCCGGCCGCCGACCCACCTCGGGATCTGGAGCGCATTTACTTTCACGGCAGCGGCAGGTCCGCCATCTGTCGTGTCCTGTGCCTTCACGTCGCACACACTTTCACACAGGTGTTTTTCACCATAGCAATCAAAATCCGTGTAATTAATTCTTTATTGTTCGAAATCCATTACAAAGTTGTATCATGCTACTGAAGGGACCTTGCGATTGCAAAGCCAACCCTCTACCACTGAGCTATGCAGATATCTAAGCGAAAATGTAATTCTTCACCTGACTGGTTAACTCTGGATACTACTGATCCATTCTGCAAAAAGATGCACACCGGGACAGGGATGCTACGAAAGTGAATGCTAGTGGATTGACGCCACTGACGTCCTTGAGCGCGAGGAGAGCCATATGGGCATAAGGCGGAAGTTGCTTTGGCGCTGAAATCGTGAGAGCGTGGACTGTGCATGTGATTCCAATTGCCGTCGGAGAGGGCAGAGCCGGTGAGGCATATGATGTAATCAGGAACGAGAGCCTGGGGTGAAGGTTAGAATGGAGGCTGAATGGGTCCTTGTGCGGCCGTGTTTGCTCAGAAGCGGCGGCCGGAGGGAGGCTCCGCGGAATTCATAGGATCAGACGAGTTCTAAGAGAATAAACAGGACCTTTATGCAAAAGTGAAATGGAAATATAGTTTTTTTCGTGAAAAGGTCTGTACAGAGAAAACTGCCATCACAAAAACACACAGATATATGTGTGTGTGTGTGTGTGTGTGTGTGTGCGTGTGTGTGTGTGTGTGGGGGATCATTTCTAAACACATCATCACATTGCCAGGTAGTTCACTTTGACAGTCGCAGTCCTTCTCACTCACGCTATTACTGAATGAGGAAGGTGATCAGGGGAAGGACATACACAAAGTAGAGACCCCGAGAATTCTCTATACATCCGTTGTCTCATCTCACCAGGAGAAATGCTTGATTGACCCGTGTGTGTGTGCGTGTGTTTGTGTTTGTGTGTGTGTGTGTGTGTGTGTGTGTGTGTATGTGTGTGTGTGTGTGTGCGTGTGTGTGTGTGTGTGTGTGTGTGTGTGTGTGTGTGTGTGTGTGTGCGTGTGCGTGTGCGTGTGCGTGTGCGTGTGCGTGGTGAGTGTGTGTGAGTGTGAGTGTGAGTGTGAGTGTGAGTGTGTGTGTGTGTGTGTGTGTGTGTGTGTGTGTGTGTGTGTGTCTGTGTGCGTGCGTGCGTGCGTATAATTATATAGCAAATTTAACAGACAGAAAGAGAGAAACCGAAATAAGAAGATAACGAGAAGGAATAAAAAACGATAGAAGGAAGGGATGCGATTCACAAAGGCGAATAAATGAAACGGATCAGACAAACTAAACGGAAGAATTAAAGAAACAAAATAAGAGAAAAGCTCTGGTCTCACGTTGTAGTTCATGGCACTGGAATTACATGTAATTACTAATTGTATTTCCATGACATCGTCATGACCTTTATCTTAGACAGCATGTATACAAACGTATATTTAAGTACTTGCTCGACATTTGCAAGTGACAGTGGCGTTCGAGCTGTTCCAAGCTTTGTCAGGCATTGCGCCACTATTTTAAGTTTCGCTCTGGGACGGTAATGACACCGCGAAAACGACAATAGGGCGTCGGTGCAGGTCGCTGCCCCGGTGGATTGATGCTGCGGTAACGCTAAGAGTCATCCTGTCACGCTACCTCTTGCAGGTTACATCTCGTTCGTGCTAATTGCAAATTGCTGCGCCCTTGGTTGAGGTGCATGAATCTCAATTTCGTTAACCTGCTGTAGAAATACCCACTAGGTACTTATATCCTAATTTCTAATTAAGGTGTCGCAAACTGTCACAGGAAAGTGTCCCACGATACAGAGGTCAACAGCAGACTAATTATACTATTCCAAATTTATTTTATGTAAATAGTCAGGGTTTATCTTGCTCAACACGGTCTGGAGGCACATAGATTTTTTGTTCATGATTTAATAAAAACTGTTTCTCTCACTTAACAACGTATTTTGGGTTTCTAGTAATTGTACAGAAATGACTATTGTGACAAAGGACCTGCCTGTGATGCTCATTCCTCACGCATAAGAAGCAAACAGAAGAAATTCATTGAGAAAAAAGTTGATCGTTTGGACGCGGGCTCACTGTATAGACGAGTAACCCGGACCTGCATGAATGGTCTCGC